ACAGTGCCCCCAAACTGATGTATAATGTAAATTTCAATATGACATGCATCTTATTATAAATGTTTCAGCAAAATCTGGGAGATTCGCTTATACATTAGCTTTTTGCAAAGTCCTGCTTTCTACACTACATTGTGATCTGTGCAGAGTTGCGTAACTAAGACATTTTAGTACAAGAAAGCAGGGGATTTCTAACAATAAAACTATAAATGTAATGAGAAGATGGGACTGGGTGGTGGGTATATGTATTATTTTCAGAAGGTTGCCTGAAGGACAAGAAGGTTTATTGGGATCAAAATAACATAGTGAAAAAAACAAACAAGCTGGAGGCAAATAATATACAGCATCTCTTGGCTCATCCCTTTTTCTTTACAGATATCTTAAATTGGAACTTTAGTTATTATAGTATTTTGCAGTCACTAAATATAAAACTTCTACCCCACACCTTAAAAAAAAGATGTTGGAACTATATGCAAATACATTGACCAGGTCTTTCTTTTGCACTTTCCTCAAAGACATGATTCATTTGATACAGTGAAAAGCAGAAATATTCTGCTTCTGCTGGCATTAATATACAAGAGACTTTTCTGGTACATCCGGAAAGGATGTCTCTGCTTATAGCATTAAGCTGTGCAAAGAGGAAAACATCATCCTGAGGGCTAGTTCTGAAGAAATTAGGTGCATTTAACTGCTTATAAAGTAAAGCACCTGTTTAGAAGCCCCTCCTGCATACAGGTTAAAGGCAGCAGTGATCTGTTTCATTACAACCCTCTCAGGTTCCCACAAAGGCCTAACAAGGCATTGCCCTCTGAAGATAAAGAAAAATACTTTTATGTAAAACAGTGTCCTAGACATCAAGCAACCGATTTTCTGTTATCTCTCCATTTTTCTATATGTTGCTTCTTTTCATTTTTTTTTTACACAAATGGTGATGCAGTTTACAAAACCCCCTGTTCTGTTTGTATCTGTATAACTACTTGTGTAAGAAGTGAGATGTCTAAATCTTTGGCAAAACAGACAGCTAATTAAAGTTTTAAAAACAAACAAACGCCAGGATGATCTGTAAACTGCAATCATAAAAAGACTTGCTAGGAAGCCTATTGCTGCTGGGGCACCCCAGATTGTGCTTTGGGTTCCCTGCTGTTTTCTTTTTATGCTTTATCCTGGAGTCAGCTCATCAGTTCCCATGGATTTCTATAACCTTCATCCAATCATCCACCACTTCACCTGTCCTCCACAATTTGAAGAACATAATAGACAGTGATTCTAAGAGTTGTTCAGCCAGTTCTTTGTCAAGCAATTGTATAGTGATAAGATGACTAAAATGGTGACCGTGATAGGAGAGCATGACGTGATAAAGGCACCAAAGCTCTCCTAACATCAAGTAAGCCACCATCATGAGCCACAAAGCATGAAAGTAATTTCATAGTTTCCGTGCCCTTCTCAGTATTTGTTCTGTATACTTTTAAAATACATTTTTAAAATGCAATAATTTCATTTTTAATTGTATTTTTAAAAATTTCTTAATATTCTTCTTGTGTCTCCATTTTTATAATCAGACACAGAACACACCCACCCCGCAAGCATGATTCTGATAAGCCTGTTTGACCAGGAAAGAGTTAAAAAGCTAGCTATGAGTCAGCTAATCGGATCCTAATTGCCAAGGCCAAAAATTCAGATTAGTATGTTTGTTTGTTTTTGTTTTGTTTGTTTATTCATAGGCCACCTTTTTCCCAATAAGGGACCCTGTAACTTGAGCCTATTAGATTGTCCCAGATATGGAGCTGATTTCCACTCTCAAAAAGTAAAGAGAAGAGACTATTTGGTCTCAGCAAGCCTGAGAGAATGTTTACTGAAAGTGCTATAAGAAAACACAGCAGCTATCTGTTTTTCTAAAATGAGGGGAAAGACTTTGAATATGTCTTACAAAATTGTACTGCATGCTAATTCCCTGTGGGTAGATTGGAAAATGTCCCCTTTTCTGAAGGAGAAAAACATTCTGGCACCTTAAGGACTTACTACCAAGTTTTAATTGCTGTAGCCTGGAATTAATTTAGCCACCAATCACAGAATCGTGGAAAAGTGAAGTTGGAAGGGGCCTACAAGGCCATCAAGTCCAAACCCCTGCTCAACACAGGAATACAATCAAAGCATATCTGTCAGCTGATTATCTAAGTTTTTCTTGAATGCCTCCAGAGTTGGAGCACTCACCAACTCCCAAGGCAACTGGTTCCACTGTTGTACTGCTCTAACAGGAGTTTTTTCCTGATATTCAACCAAAATCTGGCATTGTTTAACTTGAGCCCATTGTTGTGTGCCCTGCACTCTGGGATGATCGAGAAAGGATCTTGCCCCTCCCCCAGCCTTTCAAGTATTTGAAAAATGCTATCATATTACCCCTCAGTCTTCTTTTCTCAAGGGTAAACATGCCCAGTTCTTTCAGCCTTTGCTCATAAGGCTTGGTTTCCAGTCCCTTGATCATCCTTGTTACCCTCCTCTGCACTTTTTCCAATTTGTTAGCATCCTTCTTGAAGTGTGGTGTCCAGAAATGGACACAATTCTCATGGTTAGGCCAACCAGTGCTGAATAGAGGGGGGACTAGCACCTTTGGAAGCTATACATCTATTAATGCAGCCTAAAATAGTATTTGCCTTTTTTTGTAGCCACATCACACTGTTGGCTCATATTTAGCTTGTGATCTACAACAATTCCAATATCCTTCTCACTCGTGGTTTTGTTGAGCCAGCTATCCCCCATCTTGTAACTGTGAACTTGGTTTCTATTTCCAAGGTGCAGTACTTTGCACCTGTTGAATTTCATTCTGTTGCTTTCAGCCCAGTGCTCCATCCTATCAAGGTCATTTTGAATTTTGTTTCTGCCTTCTAGGGTATTAGCTACTCCACCCAATTTGGTATCATCTGCAAATTTGACAAGGATTTCCTGCTCTCCCTCATCCACGTCATTAATAAAAATATTGAAGAGCATTGGGCCCAGGACTGAGCCTTGGGGTACCCCACTTGTTACCTCCTCCCAGTTAGAGAAGGACCCATTACTCATCACCCTCTGAGTACGATTCTGTAGTCCACCTTGACAATCTATCCAGCCCACACCTAGTTAGTGAGTACGATTCTGTAGTCCACCCGACAATCTATCCAGCCCACACCTAGATAGCTTGCTAATCAGGATATCATGGGGCACTTTATCAAAAGCTGTGCTGAAGTCGAGATATACCACGTCTACAGCATTCCCTCTGTCTATCAGGGAGGTGACCTATCAAAAAATTAGTTTGGCAGGATTTGTTCTTGACAAATCCATGTTGGCTTCTAGTTATTATTGCATTGTTATCTAGGTGCCATATGTTGTTTGTCTTTTGCTACTCACATACCTGAAGAATGTTTTTATTGCTTTTCATTTACCCTTAGCTCTGTGCTTATGTCTTCCTTTCCCTTCCATTCAGTTTAAAGCCCTCCTGATGAAGTTCTTCATGCTGTGGCCAAATACATTCTTCCCAGTCTTTGTTAGATGCAAGCTGTCTCTTGCTAGCAGTCCTTCTTCCAGTAAGCTTAGCCCGTGCTCCCAAAAACCAAATCCCTCTCATCGACACCACCTTCGTGGCCAGTCATTCATCCAGAGGATTTTCCTTTATCTTTCGATTCCTCTTCTGAGCATCAGTAGGATGGATGAAAAAAGTATCTGGGCCCCAAAGTCCTTGAGGAAGAATGGAAGAGGAAACTATCTGGGCCCCAAAGCCCTTGAATTTCCTTCCCAGAGCTTCAAAACATTGTCATAGCTTACAGAACAGTGCCTCTTGGGAGGGGAACTGAATATCAGCAGGTCATTGTCAAGTGTAAAATGTCACACTTTTGCTTGGGAAATAACCAATCACTTTGTTTTCGGGCCATGTAAAATATATAAATAATTGCCATGTAGTCTGAAGAAGTGGACTTGTCCACAAAAGCTCACATTAAAATATAGCAGTTACTGCAGTCTTTAAGTTGACACAATGTTTTTTCTTCTTTTTCTTTTCCCCCCCCCCCCCAAATATGCTAACACAGACTAACATGGCTATCTCTTCTGAAACTATAACTTTCTGGAGGAGTACTTTCTTTTACTTTCTTTAAAGCAAACTGTTCTTTTATTCTTTAAAGAAAATCTCTTTTCAATCTGTTTCCGTTTGTTTCTTTAACTTGTCTCTCCAAATATATTTCTTCCTGGCCTATGAATGTAGGTAAAGTTTCATTTCATGAAGCTCCTGTTGGCAAGCATGTACCATGCATGCTCAATCTAATAGCAAAATGGCTGGTATTGTTTTGTGTGTGTGTGTGTGTGTTTGTTTCCACAGTCTTTTATGAGAATCAGTATTTTAGCCCTGCAATCTAGATTCTTTTCAAATTTTAAAAAAAGCAGATGAGTCTAACCATTCTCTTTAAAGACAAGCAAGATTGATATTTTCAATGTATGGGATCTGTTTTAAATCAGGGGTCATTTGGGATATATATGTATGTTGGGGAATAAGCAGTAATGGACTCACCGATCAGAACCCAGTGACTATATGTAGAACTACTAGAACATAATCTCCCACCTTCCCTGCATTTCACCATGCATCTCCAAATCGAGCAGGGGCGGGAGAGAACTTCTAAAATCCTTTAGAATTGCATCGGAGATGACACAGAGGACTCTAGCAGGGTGAGGTAAAATCCCATCATCCTAGCCATCAAACACTAGCATGGTACTGCGTGCAGGCCAGTGGGTCTAACTTCTAAGCCTTGCTTCTAAGAAACCATGCTCGGTGGGGGGGGGGGAGGATATACCTATCTGCACCCAGTTACAGTAAATGTGCTCAGAAGTTATTCCTGGAGTTTTTCTATCCCACCTCTGGCAGTTCTCTCAGCTTTTAAGCAACCTGTTGTTAGCATGCAAGTATTCACTTCTCCAAATTAATTATTGATTCCCTCTTGAAAATGCTTTTGTCCTGATAGAGAGACAAATAAGTTATCACTCACCTCAGTGCACATTTTATCTACTGGCTTGGTTACTTCACAGCTAACACCTAAAAGCCCCATCAGGATCCAGCAGTACGTGCAGCAGGCCATTAAGGAATTGTATTAGATTCTCCACACAGACGAGCCTCTCAGTAATGGAAGTCAGATGAAAAATAATTTTCTAGAAAGAGGTTCAGAAAGCATTGTTAAACAGGAGAACTGAGTGCGACAAATAATAGCGACAAGTAAAGAGAAGTTTCCTCTTGAAGGCAAAAGGACTCATGTGCAGTGAGCCATTCAGTTCCTCTTTTTTTGCTTGCTTCCTCCATCACCCTGGCCTCATCCTGACACATTAAATGTTGGAAGAAAGATATGCAACAACGTGAGGGGAAGAAATGTTCTCTCTAGCTCTCTTGATAGATTCCGAAGACCCGCCTTGGGTCCTTTTTACAGAGAAAGGCAGGATAGAAATATTTTAAATAAATGTATATAATAAATAAGAACCATTAATGGAACATCTTTCTTCATGAGAGGAATAGCCCAGGTAACATAGACTTGATGCTGTTCAAATCATGGATGTCTGAGATCGTGCTGGGGAATATAATTTCCTCTACTTCTGAGGTGCGGGCAAGGATGCTGTTGTTTATCTAATTTGGAATCATGGACGAACCAAAGGAAATCCTAGGATGTGTTGAAGTACACAAAATTATTAGGGTAAGCCCTTTAGTGGGGTCCTCCCCCTGGAAGGGAAAGCAGCTCAAGGAGGACTGAAGTTGCTCAGTGGTACAGAAGAGTAACTGGTATGTTGGTACAGGGAGAGGGAACAGATGTGGGAGCGGAAATGGAATGGACTGCTGTGGAGGAAGGTGTGTCTGGCTGACAAAGTGAACATCAGCATTTGACACTGACATTTTATTGCAACAGTTTGGGAATAAAAGAAGTGAATCATTTGGGTGCTGACTGCAATAGTGTGGAAGTGCCAACGTCAGTTTAACTGGGTGTGGGAGCATTGTGTCTTGTGTCCATGTTGATGAGTGTCTTGTCCCAAAAGGAAAGTTGAGGAGAGCAAACTGGGAAGGAGAGTAATGGGTTCTCAAGTATCTGTTGTGAATTATAAACAGATAGGCATAGAAAATAGTGTTGTGTGATACCTTAAACCAACACAGTTTGGGGGATTGTCCTCCTGGATGATCTTAATGGATTTCCTTTGGTAATTTGTGCTTCTTTTGTCTTTAATACCAGTCTCCAGAATTATAATTCTCTTCATCATTCTGCAACTAACAATACCACACACACCTAACTTGTCTAGAACCTCCTCTTTTCAACTTGCACACACAACAACACTGTGTTCCTATGCCCAGAGGCAACAATTGTGTCTTCTGTGGGTTGCCTAATTTCTTCCAAACAGCCATAACTCTTAATCCAGGGCTTGCTGCTTTTTGTCCTTCCTTCATAAGAAGGGCATCGTTTCATTTCATTCAATGATATACCAAAAGTGACTTTTATCAGTAAGCTCACGTTCTTCTTTATTATCCAATTTTATGCCTGGTCTGGTGTGTTTTTTCTTCTGCCCACTTCATATCCCATTCAATTACTGGGAGGAATGGGATTGCCACTAACACACAGTCTTGCCTTCCTGAAGTCCCTAAATAAGGCCCCTGGCCTAAACTGCTTATCTATTCCTAGTGGGCGTATTCTTATCTCATAAAAATATCTCACTGCACAGATTAATTTGTCTGCTTCTTCCAATGCTCCGCCAGTTTTCTCAGGGGCTGCTATCAAATGCTTTTGTTAAAAATCAATAGACTTTTATTAAGATAGGATTTAGTCAAGCGATATTCTTCTCTCCCCTCTCCTTTTCCACCAGTAATCTGTGTCTCAAATATTCTTTCATACCATGATCTACCCAGATGCAAGGCTTGGAGAAAATCATAAGGAGGCAATTTCCCAGAATCCCTGCCAGTGGCAGTGCTGGCTTTGGGGTTTTATGGGCTGTAGTCCAAAAAATAGCTTTCCCAAACTTTGCAAATATGAGTGTTTGAGTAGGTTTGAGACTCCTGCTGGATAAAATTTGCTCTTAAACCAAACCAATAGAAATACCACCTTGCTTCCAGTCCTTACTACCTTGGAAGAAGGGAAATTAATGCACTACCAACCTTATGTGTGTTTGTGTATTTTTTTTTTAACTTCTGCACTGACAATAAATGTAACTGCTCTCCTGGGATGCCTGAAGCCCTGCTTGGCGGCTGAAGAGGTAAGCAAAATTGGTCCTAGGCCAAGAAGCAGGTTGTGCTTTATGATCATTTAAAGGAGGCTGATACCAGCTTCATAGCTTTGCACGCTGGTTTCTTCCTCAGTGTGTTGGTCTGATGGCAGGTGTTACTAGGAAGTCTTGTGGGTTTGGGGTAGCGGATGTGGTTAAATGAGGCTGAAATGCAAAGCAGACAGGGAGAGCCTTCTGTTGCACAAACACCAGATGTATCTGCCCATCCAGATTAAGGTCAGCAGGAACCATATGAACATGTTCTCCAGGCCAGAGCTGAGTTGTTAAGTACATACACTTTAGAAATGCTACAGGGTTGTTAGTTATTGATCTGCCCTCTCACCGTGTGTTTGGCAAACAAAAGTCGGATGCGATGACAACGGATGGGAGGTCTGAGCATCTAAACTGCTGAACAGATAACGGCCCCACTAATTCAATCAATTGAGTTTCAAGCAATCAAGACACCATCTGGACAGAATCTAACTCATTGCCCAAGAAGATAAAGACATCTGGACTTCCTCGGTGCCAAGGACATGCATGCTTAGTCCCACAGGCAGTAAGCTGTAGCCAGACTCAGGCTGACAAGTTTTCTTAATTATGCTGAAATAATCTCACATTTCAAGTGCCAGGCGCTCCCTCTGCCAAGAGGTTAGATGGGTCACATCTCACACAGGCAAACTGAAGGGGGAGCCATCTTTCGTTTTGACTGGAGGGAGCCAGTTTCAGTCTCTTGGGGATGGGGAGAAGAGAACATGAAACTGCAAGATGTTGCCTCAGAATCTTCTGATGGTGGCAAGAAATCTTCCCCAAATTTGCAAACACAAGTGCAAGCCAAGTTCATTATCACTTAGGAGTGTTACTCTTCTGCTCTTTTCTGTGTGAAGAAAGGAGAGGCAGCCATGAGATCCAATGGGAGGAAACAGGAAAGAAATGGGAAGCTGGTGAGATCATCGATGAAGATCAAACGTAGTAGGTGGAATGAATTCTATGCATCACACTTAAAGAAGGCAGGAAGGGCTGGCCCTACCATTAGGCAAGATGAAGTCTTGGATGGAAGAAATGGCTAGTGGAAGAGGTGAGGTGTCTTCTGCCTCATTTGTGAGCATAACCTGGCTGCCCTTGAATACTATACACCATGACTTGGTTCTATGGAGTGGAATTGGCAGTCTTCCTCAGGCAGCAAAATGCCTTGGACAAGCCCTGGAGGCAGGATTTCAGCACAGAACTAGGTGAAATGAAGTAGCATAACACAGCATTGCTTCTACTGACGATTGTAACACTTATTCTCCAGGTAGCCTCTATGAAAAGCTCATTGTGTGTGTGTGTGGGGGAATACATTTGTGTCACCTTGAATTAGTAGCTATATTACCACCTCCTCTTCCTTGATTCATCCAAGTTGTGGGAAACCCATTATTACCCTGTTGTGGGGTTATGTGGGTCTCGTGTGTGTGTGTGGGGGGGGAATACGTTTGTGTCACCTTGAATTAGTAGCTATGTTACCACCTCCTCTTGATTAATCCAAGTTGTGGGAAACCCATGATTACCCTGTTGTGGGGTTATGTGGGTCTCAGGCCCTCCGTAAGTAAGGGGACATCAAAGGGACAATGACCACCATGCAGGAGAGCAGTCAGTGGAGATAATAGAAACTTTATTCTTGAACTACGTATATACAGCTGGCTTCTTGGCACTCATGGGATCTTTCCGTACCTTCAACCCGCTAGAGTCCTTTCTATTATGGCAAAGTGCTTTGTCTTCACCCCCTTGTTTTCCAGTCCAAATTCCCCCACGTGGTTTCAGTTAATCCCAGTCCTTCACTGCCCCAGGGTTTTCTGTTGTTGTTCTTTCACACAGAGATTCTATCCTAGGTGTCACAGTCTGTTAAATTGTTGTTCCCACTGCCAGCAATGTTGCTACATTGGGATTTGGGATTGGCTTCAGCAGGCCCAGTTTGCCCCACTGTGGGTTTGGCTTCTGGAAGGTCTAGGGATCCTTGCACCCAGCCGTGGTGGGCCAATGAGGTGCCGTGACCTAGGGAGAGACACTCTTGGTCGAGATCAGTGTACCCACAGTAGGAGAGGATCTCTAGGTGCCATGGGCTTTTGAGTTACTCCACACTATCGCTCCACAAGCCTCCCCCCTTCTTGTCTTCACTGCTGCCCTTCCCCTCCACTACTAGCTGTTCTCCCTTTAAACCCCCTCCTCCTTCCATTCTCAAAGGTTCTCCTATTCTCCTACCCCTGAGTGCTTCTGGCTGCCACACATTCAAAGCAGAAAGTCAATGCAAGATAGAAAAATCACAGAGACAGATCTCTGGGCACAAAGCTTTAAAAACAAAACAAAACTCATGCAAGAAGCCGTGGTATGTTTAAGCCTTTTCAGATAACTAGCACAGCCAAACAGAATTGTAAGCCCTAATGCAAACTAGCTCACTGAAGCTCTGATTCTACGCACGGACTTCTAGTAGTTTCTCACTTCCCATTGTCCTGGGATCAGCTCTCCCACATGACCAGCTGAAAAGAGAGTAGTGGCCCAGAGCATGAAAGGAAGCGTTTGCTGGAAGTTTTAATTATACCTTAATGTAGCTGATTGAGTAGCTGAATAGCTGACTGGCTGGTGTCTGTGGGGGTATCAACTGACACCATTTCTGGTTATTAACCCCTTCCGCCCTTTCTAATGTATTTTTTGCTGCATAATGACACAGATGAATCCACTTGTCATGGCTCCAATATTTTACATGAGATCTATTTGGACTATGCTGCAAAAATAGGGGTGCAAAGAATATTTTATAAATTCTTCAGTCTCACAGATTTTGGCTATCTCAGTTTGGCAAGACAATTGAGATACTTGATGAGGAGTTTACAAGGTCCTTGAGATTTCTCCCTCTGCACATTAATTAGATCAAGGAAAGGAGCACTAAGTTTTTCTCATCCAGTTCTCCATATTTTGTGTACTGTCTCTGTGCAAAACCAGCACCCTTTTTTCCTTGGGAAGCAAAGCACCAGAATGTGTTTTGTTTTTCCTTGGTTTT